GTTACTCCAATTTGAAACTACTAACAATCAAGAGAGCGAGAGCTTGTACTGTCCTTGCCTAATATTTTATTATTTAAATCTATTATAGAGTTTGATAGCTTGTGGTTAAGGAATTGAGATTCGTCAAAATAACCGTTGAAAAATCAAATCTATTTTGCACGTTTTTATGAATAAAATAACTAACATGTTAGTTTAACGTGCTTGATGGAAATGCTCCAAATCATATCTCCATTCTTTCACTATATGATTGCATTTATTGCATTTTTCAAACAATAAACATCAAAAAAGTACTTAAGGATCGCTTTGATTATATGTTGATGAAAAATAAAGATGATAGAAAATGAAGCGAAGGTGCAAATTTATTAGAATTTTGAAAGAAAATGACTGGAAAATTTAACTTCCTAGTTTGGAAAATATGGAAGTTCCCAAATTTTTTTTTCCCCTTACTGAATTGCATTATCAAAAATGCCTAAGACCCCGTAGGGGTCATGTACGGAGGCTTTTCATTGATCAAAAAAAAAAAAATATTATTATTATATTTTTTTTTTTTATGATTTGAACGAATGGCACGCTGCCACCTCACTGGAGTCGACCCCGTGAGGGTCGACCCCGTGGGGTCTGTAGCAAAGTGCTTGCATTATTCATACCATGGCCTAATAAAAACCCAATAACAAAACCAATCTGGGCCTGGGCACAGGCATTAATTGTGTGTTTACTGCTTAAAGTACCTTTCAAAAAAAACAAAAAATGACTTAAAGTGCTTAAAGTATTTTATTGTATGGAAAATATTAATTTACTATTCCAATGAAATTAGATTTCTTCTTTCTTAGAGCTTAGCTTTTGTTTTTGTTTCCTTTGTACACCCCCCTCCAAAAAAAAAAACCCCCAAAAAAAAAAAAAAAAAATTTACAATTTAAGATATAAATGAATAAAAAAATAATATAGAACATTATTCAAGGACCTTTATAAAAAAAAAAATGACTCCTTTAATCAAGAATTCACTTTTTATCTAAGATTTTTGTTAAAAGTGTTTTAAGGGAATTGCTAAAAAATTCAAAAGAGTTGTGCATTTTTTTTTTATAAAAATTGTTTTCCAGGTGAAAAGTTAGTTCTCAACTTCTTTGAGTAACTTTTTCTATTAGCATTTCAATAATGCTCTTTATTCGATAAAAGTAACTTATTTTAAATTATTTTATTTATAAGGTAAAAATCATTGTTATTTGATTCGATAGGGTCATTAAAAAATTTTAAAAAATAAATTATACTATCTGTGCTGTGAGTATACTCGAGGAGTTAAGAAGACCACTAGGGAAGCTGTTGAAACTATTTTTTGGGATGAAAATTTCTAAAATTAACTAAAAAAATATGAATAGGAAAGTAATTATAACTGGTTAACATAACTTAAAAGTACAGTACAGAGGGAATATGGACTTCAAGTTGCTCCATATTAATGACGCATCTTGATAGAGTTATGGAAAAATGATTATAGATTATAATTTATAGTTATGAATATAAGTTGTTAATCTGTTTGGTGCAGCTGTAGAATTATAAATTTAAGTAGCAGAGTAGTATTTAGTTGATAAACTATAAAATAACTTTTTGAGTAAACTACCAATAGGTCCTAATAGTTAGACTTAATTCTCATTAAGTTCTATTGAAAATAAGTCTTAGTAAAATTGTCGCCAAAAATAATTTTTTGTGACAATTTTTTATGTATGTTGTTAAAAATTGACAATTAATGACTTTTTTGTAATGATTTTTATAAATTATCGCTAAAACTTACAGTTAGTGAAGTTTTTTTATGACAAATTTTTCCTATAGAACCTATTAGGTAATAAGTCCACTTATTAGGACCTATACGTAAGTATCCCTAACTTTTTGCTGTGTAATTGTCCTTTTTACCTTTATATGATATAAAAATAATTATTTTGTCATTTTTTCAGTTTTAATTTTTAAAAAGTTATTTCATTAATAAAAGTTAATATAATTAGTATTAGAAAAATTATTATTTTCATTATAAATTAATTAGTGTCAATTAATGACTTAATTAGCATCATTAATTTTTTTTATTTAATTTATTAATTCATTACAATTAATATAAATTAATATCCATGTATTTGTATTAATGTTGTGATGTCATTACTTATTATTTTTTCTTTATATTAATTTCAGTTAGTTACTTAATAGAAATTATAATATTTTTCTTCGTATTTCATTTTTTTTCATTAATTTTGTAATATAATATCCATTTTTAATAGAAGTTATAATTTTGTTTTTATTTAATAGAAGTTATAATAGTTTTTTTTTATAATATTCATTGTTATAAATGTCCAGTTTTTTTTCATTATCCATTTTTTATAATATCCATTTTTTTTAAATGTCCAGTTTTTTTTCATTATCCAGTTTTTTTTTTTTTTATAATATCCATTTTTATAAATATCCATTTTTTTTCTATTAATTTTGATTTTATTAATTTTTTAATATAATATCCATTTTTAATAGAAGTTAATAAAAGTTAATTTTGTTTTTATTTAATAGAAGTTATAATAGTTTTTTTTTATAATATCCATTTTTATAATATTAATTCTGTTTTTATTAAAAAAAAATTCATTACAATTAATAATATAACAATTGTGCAATTATGTAATTTTTATCAATAATTGTGAAATAAATTAAATGGAAGTTAATAAAAGTTAATTTTGTTTTTTTTTTCTTTTTTTTCATTACAATTTTGCAAAATCCTATATCTGATTTTGCCTTTGTTGGAGCCGGGCTTCATCCACTGAGTCTTCTCCGAACCAGAATGACTGGATACCGATTCAATTGGACTCGTCGCCAATTGTGAGGGTGTGTTTGACTGATCTGGGAAGAACCTAAATGGGTCGAAAGGTTTTGAAGGGGGTTGGGAAGCAATTGGGTGGTGGAGAGACCACTAGAGAGCTCGGATCGAAGTGGGGATTCCACAAAATTGCCCTATTTGTTGTCGTTGTAGTCGACGGTTGATTTTCGGTCGTGGATCTAATCGGAATGGAGAGCGTGATTGGCAAAGGACGCAAACGTGAAGTCGTCGAAGCCCTCATCGTCGTCTTTCTCTGCTTTGGATACCACCAAAGCCCTCATCGTGGTCTTCCTCTGCTTTGGTGATCATTTTTTGGATCGGCGTTTTCACCTGAAATCGCCTTTCACGCCAGAAATCGCCTATCTCTCTCTCTCTCTCAGAGTGAACAGTATTAGGTCTGAACTCAGAACTGTGTTTATATACTGGCATTTTCGTAATTTCTTAAGTTTTGGAGGGACCTTTAAGTCATTTTGCCCCTCCAAGATCAGCTGCGTGCTGATTTAAGTTGAAAAAAAGTTTTACCAAACAGGCACAATATATGAGACTGCACTCGTTTGGCATACCAAAATTTAGAATTAAAAGATTATTTTAGTCATAAAAAGATAAAATAATCTAAATAATTAATAAGACAAAATGTCACATCCAAATCATAATCATTTTATTTTTTTTCTCACAAAAGTCAAAAAAAAAATTAAAAAGTCTATCACAGACGAAACTTTTTAACCCCAGGATAAAATAATAAAAAAGTCAACCCACATCCCAAATGAATTTGTGAAATGCATAATAAAATTTATTTATATTACTTAATTCTACAAGGTCATTAACAAGGCTTTTTAAATAAAAATGTAAAAATTCTAACAACTAATTATAATTTATTATTGTAATGATTCTCTGTAGTCTTAGCTTATTTAGGTGTTGTTTGGGATGACCTAAATAAATATACTTTTTATCTTTTTACGAAAAGATGTACAAAAAAATAAAAAGGTGATGTAATGAAAAAAAGATAAAAAAATAAAAGAATGAATTATTTGAGACTTCCCAAACTTGACCTTATTTTTATTTCTTGTAAAAATAAACTCCTCCAACAACTCCACTAAACATTTTATTTATTTATTTATTTATTCTAAAAACATGCGTACCAATTATGTTTTTGTGTTCATGTTTTATGTGAAAAATAAACGTAAGTTCTATTTTCTATAAACAAAATACTAAAAACTAACACATTACCGAACAAAATGTGAAATACACTGTTTTCAATTCTCCTTGCAATATCTGTTCCAGAAATGAAAAATAATACATGGAAATGTACCGTATGCATTCCTTTTAAGCACTAAATTGTACAGATTCAGTCAGTTTGTTTTTTATTTTTTTCCAGGAAATAACCACCACTTTCTATAATAGGAATGCACTTACAAATACTAGGTAGCATGGGATTTGTCATATTTGAGAGGGACGCAAATGCCTTGAGAGACAAAAAAGTATTGATACATAGAATAATAAACTCCAATTCCCTCTCAAAACAAGAATGAAATCAGAATCCAGAAAAGGCTAGAGTGTTGCAATAAAAAACAAAGAATAAAAAGACATTCAGAGGGATTGCCCCCATTTTGATCTAATAATAACCCAGATGCCCTGTAACATCAATGGGCAATTTTGACCACAATATTCTCCAACCAAGAGAGTAATATCACAATAATAATGGTTCCAGACCTTTTTGTTCAACTCAAAAAATAGAAAAATAAATAAACATATAATTTCACAGCCATTCCCATAATATAATTTTGATTTCTGACAAACAAATAAGGTATGTGTACAGTTCTTTTGAGATCACATAGTTACGTACAAATATCAAAGTTCTGTTTCAAATTCAAGCTAGAATAAGCTGCTCCTTTTGCTTAGGATAGACATGTTTATAAACCAAATTCAATATTGTATCACATAATTCCTGACCATATAGTCAATTTCTGTCGGGAACAGAACCCCAATTTAAAACAACATTGTGCCAAGCGGTGTTTAAACAATCATCTAAATATCACTGACCTCTAATTCCAATTCTGCATGCCAGGCTGTTTTGGGATTTTAATTTTCAAGCAATATCTGAATCTTTAACATTTCAATATCATTTCATGTATTACTTTCTACTCCATTCATATAATATATATCCTGGAAATTTTCTCAATTGTAAATACTGATGCAAACTTGCAATGTGATAATAAAGACTCTCACGCCAGCAGCTTAGCCCACGATTTATTCTGGTCAATTGAAGCAAAATTTCCATAATGAAGGTAATGCATTCATAGGAAAAGCCCTAAAACGTTTGACAGAGATTGTCATACAAGATGAGGATTGTTCTTACAACGAGAAAGCGTCAATTCAACAGATTCTTGTCTGGCTCTGGTCTTCATATCTTCACATCTACTTGCCTTATGTCCAGAAGGCCCAGAAAGTCAATCCCCAATTAACAGAAATTTGCTCCATATGCATCTCAAGATTGAACCATGCAAAATATGTACATGAGCGATTCAAGCCGATCATAAATTGAGCACTAATGGATTGAATACAATGGGCATGAAGCATTCTTGGTGAGGCTATCATTAGATTCATGTGTTCAATGATTGTGACGGCAACTTAGGGTGGTTATGCTCTCCTTCATAAGTTACTATAAGCATTGAGGCGTCCTCCAAGCACCTCTCCACATGTTTCCTAGCAGGGCAACCTCTCATGCTGCTACACTTATAGTATCCCCTGCACAAACACAAGAAGTAATTCTCAGTAGTTCTTCAAAAAATTAGATCTGAAATTCAGACAATTACATTACATATAATAATTGTGCGTAGGCTACAAAGTCCACATATAAGCATAATTGGTCATCAACATAACGGTCAAGAATTGATGGCTTAAACACATCTTCAATCTTCAATAACAAGAGCTAGAACAGTATGCCAATGGTTTTTCCTTGACTCCTAATTTGGCACCCAACAAGGAGAAAATTCAAAATCTAACAAGCAACAGAAGAAATTTCTTTTTTTTTTGCAAGATTACATACAGTAGTTCCTTCTCCCCCATCACATCAGCAACCAAAAACCATCAGCTGTTAGCACAAAAAAAACTTCCACAGCTAACACTAATATTTATTATTTTCAATGTCAAAGCTACAACATAGCAACTTGATCGAAATAGTAACTATGGAACCTACTTTCACATGTCTTATCTATATGGATAGAGCAAGCTCAGGAGAAGGGCAGAAAGGAATAGATTAGCTGGCTTTTTCCCAAATGAAAGGTGGAACATAGTACACCTCAAAATGCAATTATGGCAATAAAACTTAACACCATCCCACAACATCCACTTAAAAGAAGCAAGAATATTTAAGTGCCGTGTGTTTTTGTGTGTGTTAATTGCCAAATGGGTGGTTAAGGAGAACAGCCGGGGGGATGAGGCTATTTAATTACAAGATCAAGAACAAATCACAGCTAAAAATAGAATTATAGAGGTAATAGATGTGCATCCCACATTCATCAATAACAACTGAAAAAATCATTGCTAAAGCATAAATTGAATGTACCTCGGGTGAGGAGAACCCTTAATTGGTTTCTGTCCATACTTCCTCCATGAATAATCATCAGGAGGGATATCTGCAAGCTTGTTACTGATAGCAGGTACCCTGATTGACCTCTTCACTCTATGTTTCCTGTCAGGATAATACAATAAAGGGAAACAATTGCCAGCTATTAATGACTGAGAAGCATATATTAAGATGAAAGAGTGGAATAAAAGTCAACCTCTTCTTTGAGCAGTGGCATCTACCACTACTCCCGCACTTTGCACTCCCTTCATCTCCCCTTCCAGAGCACCTTCTCTTATGTTGGTGAGAATTCTGATCAGAAGAGCCAGCTGTCCCAATCAAATGGAACGCATTCCCGTCCAGATTAGCAACACTCCCATCTATACTCAATGAAGAGATAAAAGACCTAGTGGATGACATGGTGGGGGTGCACATTGAGCTATCAAAATTCAGATTAACACCGCTATTGCTCTGCCGATACAGCATTTCTGCTTGATGCTTCATCTGTTGCTGCTGAAGCTGGATCCTTTGTTGATGCTGTTGCTGAAGGAAATGATGGTAGTTGGTCTGTGGTGTTTGTTGAGCAAGTTGAAGAGGGTTTTGCTCATTTGAATTCATCTCCAATGATGAGTTCCCCAATGTAAGAGTACTTTGAACACGAGAACCCGCTTCTCGGATTGGATTTTCAAGAAAATTAGTCTGCAGAAGCTGAACAGGTTTGGGGTGACGATCTGTTTTACTCCTTAGGTTGTCTAGCAGGATGTTTTGGGTAAAAGGGGCTTGAAAATTCTTCATCTTTCTTACTCTTGCACGACCCAATCCAGTATTAAGAAGAGAAACAACTCTCTTAAACCTATTTACAGCCTCCCCTGTTTCTACCACTACATTTCTAAACTGATTCTGATCATGGGGCTGAGATAACAACCTAAGAACTCTATGGCTACACTCTACTGCTGCTCTATTAGCTTCTTCAACCCCCTCCATCTAAACCCTAAACCCAACACCCCCCCCCCAAAAAAAAACTAATTTCCAAAACCCAAATGACCCAACCCAAACAGCAGCATAAAGACTTCAAAATCTCTAAAATCTATCCTCAATCCTCATTGAAATTTTAGGAATTTTCAATCAATCGAAGAGCTATCACTCAATTAAATAAATACCCTTGATTTTTTGACTTTTTTTGTGAGAGAGGATTGTAATGTATTATGAGTTGGATTTGATGTTTTGTTTTTTGTGGCTAAAATAAGCCCTATTTTTGTTTTTTGTGGCTATTTTAGCCCCAAACCAAGTTCCCAAACAAAGGCTCAGGAACCGATGAAAGTAGCAGCGGAAATAGTTAACTTTTTGAATAATACTTATATGTATATATTAATTAATATATTAATAAATAATGTAATATAATTTTAGAGATTTAAATATGAAAAATTTATTTATAAATCCTTTTTTAGACACTTATGGTACGTTAAGTTCTGTGTTAATTTCTAATAGAGTCTCAAGTCCTATTTAGATATGAATGTATTTCACAAAATCCTACATAAAATGTAACGTGATTGACACTTACATAAACGTAACGTAACGTAACGTAACATCTATATAAACGTAACGTAACTGACACCTACATAAACGTAACTGTAACATGTCACGTTACTTTTCGCAAACTTAATGAATTTTTATTTTTTTAAATTAAATGTAAAAATGTTGCTGGTTTATATTGGTGTCACGTTACGTTTCATATAAATATAATCTATGGTAAATATTCAATTTCCTATATAGGAAAATTGAATGTTGTCATAGATCATAGGCGTCACGTTACGTTTATGTAGGTTTCACGTTACGTTACTTTTATGTAGATATGATATATGGTAACATGTAATTTTCTACATTGCATGTTACCATGGATCATAAGTGTCACGTTACGTTTATGTAGGTGTCACGTTACGTTTATAATAGATATGATCTATAGTAACATTCAATTTTCTATATATAGTTTTATTATTATTTATGATATTAACAACTAATATTGAGAGGTAAATGTGTCAACAAACTTCCCACTGAACTTATGGGAACATAAATTTTTTAGTAGAACCATATATGTATAAGTCTCCCTAATAGTACTTATAAATAATTTTCCCTTTAAATATTTATCATTATATAATAAATAAGATCAGTAATAATAATATGACATTAATTAATACATTAATTGATATATGTAGTATTACCATAACTTTTTTATAAAGCTGAGTTTAGGAAATTAAAAAGAGAGTAATGTTAGGATATCAAATTTTCTACCAAACAAATGACCAAATGTCTCACATGGGTATGAGGTCCAAACAAAGACCAAATGTCTCACATGTATATGAGGCCACAACTTTGTAAGCCCATGTGAGACATTTGGTCATTATATTAGTAGAAAATTGGGACCTCTAACATTTCTTAAAAAAAAAAAAAAAAAAAAAAAAAAAAAAAAAAAAAAGTCTAAAGATGGACCCACCTTGAAATATGTGACAGTGACAAAGACAGAGTTCGCTCCTCCTCATGAGTGAGTGCGCCTCTCTCTCGCTCTCTCTCTGGTGCGCAGTCAAAATGCGCCTCCCTCTCTCTCTTAATATTTTCTCTCTCTAAAAAACAATTAATATTGAAAGATTTTCTCTTTCGGGCCGAGGGAATTTCTTCGGCGAAGCAATGTCTCCTCCTTCACACCTCTCAATCTCTCTAGCTCACTCTGCAGATTGAAGAATCTAGGGTTTCACAGCACGCAAGTTCAACGAAGGTCTGATCTTGGGAGTTTATTTACCTTTTTTCTCCGATTGATCTTTGTTTTTTTTTTCAGTGGAACTGTTTTTCGCTGTTAATTTCTATCTGGATTTGTCTTCTTTAATCGATTTGCATATCTTGTTGAATTTGATCTTTCTGGGT